TGTTCCCATTGTAAAAACCTTATACGGCTTTATCTTTAGCTATTGATCTAATTATTTTTACCAAAATACTTAAGTTACTAATTTTTTCTGGGGTATGCTAATACAAAGATTTAAAAAAAAATCGTCTAACACTGTTTCTTGTCAGTTTCTGTATATCTGTGAATTGTTCAACAAATGGAAAAATCTTTTTTCAATCTTTGAATGCAAATAAATTTAAATACATTTTAAACTTAATTACCGGGAATAATTTATAAAGTTTATTAAAAAAAAATTAAACGACAATTTCTCTAGCGCTCCGTTTTTTTTCTGCCGTGTTTCAAGGTCATCTTCTTGGCCATTTAATTGATGTATAGCATTTTTGCAGTTTCATGGCAAAAATGAGAGAGTTTTTGTAATGCTGTTAGTTTTTGACCACCCTGTATTTATTTATTTTTCTCTCTTCAACAACAATGTTTTTATGTGTATTGTTTTACTCATAAATAACGTATGACGTTAATAGTATATTATGCAAAAAGTGCGGTAAACAGCATTTGATTCGGAGCGAATGTTTAATAAACGACCGTTAGTTTTTGGGTATGGTCTATTCATAGAAATAAGAAAGTAACCAAATGAATGGGTTTATCCAAGGGTGATCATTAACATACAATGCAACAAGATTATTACCTTAAGTTTCGGAATTTAGATTTAGGTAAAATTGTAGTCCGTAATCGAAAATAATTTTATACCTACCTGTGTTTAATATTTTTTGGTTTGGTATACTACTTAGTTTAAGTTTATTAGTAATCATTCTTATTTCGTGTGTAATACAGCGTGTGTTGAATCGTATGCGAATTATGCAAAATATGTGCGAGTGAGTCTAGTGTATCTCAGGAGATGCTCCCGCCCAAATGTAGAAAACACTATTCTGTTGAGACTAAGGAAGTTATAAACAATGTTTATTTGACTCTCATTGAACGTGGTGCCAGCAAGCAAGCATCTTTAAAAGGGACGGCCACATTGACGAAAATTCCAACATCAACTGTATGGAAAATTGTGAATAATCCCATTTTAGCGAGGAGAAAAAGATGCGATGCTGACATTTTCTCGAGTGTAGATGAAAGTGATCAAGGTATAATACAACGTAAAATTTACCAGTTATACGAGGAACAAAGCGTGCCTACATTAGATATCTTAATTAGGGGGCTTGAAAAAGATGAAACCGGTGTTAAATGTGGCAGAACTACCTTATGAAATTGTATTCAACACATGGGTTTTAGATTTTAAAAAATTGACAAAAGGCAAGTTTTTAGAATTCGGAAATGACCACTGGAATATCTAGAAAAAATTAGGATTTACAGAGAACAACAAAGGTTAATTATTTACTTGGATGAAACCTGGTTCGACACTTATGATACCCCGGAAAAGGATTGGGTTGACTCAACTGATAAGTGTAAAACAAACGCGCCATCAAAAAGAGATAAAAGAATAAAGAGATAAAGATGGTTGGATTTCAATGGACTTTCCCTGTCTGCGAAAAATATTAAAGATTCTTCTCTGGATTCCCATGAAGACACAACCGCTGATTTATTTGAAAGTTGATTTAAAAGCCTACATTAGATATCTTAATTAGGAGGCTTGAAAAAGATGAAACCGGTGTTAAATGTGGCAGAACTACCTTATGGAAGTGTATTCAACACATGGGTTTTAGATTTTAAAAAATTGACAAAAAGCAAGTTTTAATGGAATCTTTTAGAATTCGGAAATGGCGACTGGAATATCTAGAAAAATTTAGGATTTAAAGTCAATTATATACTTGGATGAAACCTGGTTCGACACTTATAATACCCCGAAAAAGTGTAAAACAAACGCGCCATTAAAAAGAGGTGAAAGAATAACTATTTTGCATACTGGCTCTAAAGATGGTTGGATTCCAAATGGACTTTCTCTGTCTGCGAAAAATATTAAAGATTCTTCTCTGGATTACCATGAAGACACCACCGCTGATTTATTTGAAAGTTGGTTTAAAAACAAACTAGTTCCAAACATTCCTCCTAATAGCGTAATTGTAATGGACGATACACGTTATCATAGTAGACAGTTGACTAAAACCCCTTCCTCATGTGACACAAAAGCAACGATCCAAAACTACATGTATAATAACGACATTTATTTTCACGAAGATTATACCAAAAAGCAATTAACTCAGGGCCTACCAAGCTTGAACCTACAAAAGCAATACGCCTGTGATAATTATGCAAAAAATCTAGGGCATACAGTTTTAAGGCTTCCACCTTACCACCATAATGCAAATAATATAGAACAAATAATAATTAGAACAGGCGATGATAGCGATAGTGATACTGATATATTATGTGAATAATTTTAAGTAATTTAAGTAGATAATAAAAATAATTCGTAATTTTATTTTAGGTTTAAACAAAAATACATACATAAATAAATATTGTTTAGTATCTTTCCTAACAAAACCTCAAATAATTAAATTCTAAGCAAAATACGGAGCTGTTCGGCCATATTTCATTCTTACAGCTTGTCCGGGTATTTCCTTAATTCGTATCAGTTAGTCACTCTCTTATATCTATGAACAGACTTTACACTTTCGCAAAACAACAAGAATACATTCACTGATATAACCGACAAAATTCAAAGCATGGGAAATATCTCCCAAAACATCCGATTGCTCCCAAACCAGTACGGTAAAATCCCGGAAATGTCCCAAGTGGCTCGGATCCGTGGGAAACGAAACTGACGTCGAAAAGTGTCGCTTCCCGCACGCTAGATTGGTGTGTAATTATTTATTTTTACAGACGGGAGTAGAAAAGAGTTATTTCTATATTAAATTCGTTAATACTAATTTGCAGGACACCAGAACAAAAGATATTTATAAATAGATTTCTCATTTTATCCGCTATTTCTATAGCTTTTATATTCTATAATTTTTAACATCATTGCTGATCATTTCGTTTTTTTTCAATTTTAACAATATGACAATAGTATATTATGCAACAAGTGCGGTAAACGGCATTTGACTCACGACTTATTTGACACGAACGGAGCGAGTGTTTAATAACCGCGTGACTTAAAAAGTTTACCGAACGTGTTGCATACTATACCTGTACTACGACCGTTAGTTTTTGGGTACACTTACGCAAAAACAACACGAATACATTCACTAACATGACAGTCAGAATTGACAAACGTCAAAATTCAAAGCGTGGGAACTATCTCCGAAAACATCCGATTGCTCCCAAATCCGTGCGGTAAAATCCCGGAAATGTGTCCGAAGTGGCTCGGATCCGTGGGACAAGGAACTCACGTGGTAAAATGACGCTTCCCACACGCAAGATTGGTGTGTAATTAGGCATTTTAGAGACGGGAGTAGAAAAACATTTTTTCTTGGATTTTAATTCCTTAAATCTCATTAGAATGATTCTCTCAATTAAGGCCTGTCTTACTATTGACTCTAAACTTAAAATGCGGGTTCGCTGATTTGTAACATATAAGTTCTCCAAATCTATATGCGCAATAATGAAAGTTTTGTAAAAAATAATTTTGATTTTCGCGCGCTAAATTACTAAGACCCACGAAAGTCAACCGAAAATAAAATCAGTTTGTTTTACCACCTTGTCATCCTCAACACAGTTTTGTTATTGTAATTATGATTCGCTGTCTTAATATTACATTTATTATTAACTTTAACTGAAATACAAGGAATGAAGTATGGCATGTTTGTTTTATACAGATTGGTGTAATTTTTGTGTCAGCCAAGCCCACCGAAATACCCAAATTAGTGCATGCATTCTCGAAGGTGAAGAAATCTTAACCGGTATATTAATAATCATTATTTTTTAAAAAAACACCACATCGTTGCGGTAAAAGTTTTGTTATTCGAATGACTCTTCTTTATACAGGGTGTTTTCTAATTGAACGTCAATAATTAAGGGATCGATTTTTGGATCCAGTTTAAAAAGAGAACTTTATATGAACATATGTCCTAAATGTCTTAACTTTTAAGATACAGTACATAGTACACATGTACTATGTATCAAGAGGCATTATTTAGTGCACCACGGCGGCCGTACGGAATTTCACCTGTCTATTTTGACAGACATTGATGGTACGCCACTGATATCTCTTTCTTTACAATATCCAATCATTTCTAAAGAAATTTAATTTCTGGATTTTTTCAATCCGTTGTACGCTGTTCGCTATAAAAAAAATAAAAACCTCTTCTCTAAATGGTCAGGCGGGCACAAAAAAAATGCCTTTCCCTAACTATTAGTAATTGCACATAATCAACTAATTTTTCAAGTTTTATTCTAGTTAAAATCATTTAATTTCAACTGTAACGAAATCCCAATCCCTGAAACAGTTTGATTTTCAAAATTGGTTCATTCCAATAATTGAACTGGGTAGAACAAATGCGAATGAAGATTAACTTCGACTTGAAATTAGTTTTGGTTAGTTTGCTTTTAATTCTAAATCTAAAAAAAAACGAAAAGGCCGATCATATTCTACACCTAATTGTCCCCGCTAAAGGTGACCTCATTAGTGTTTTAACCAGTACTCTGAACTATAGTCATTTTAATCATCCATTTCAAGTAATTTTCACGTTAAACTGTGCTCGAAAAATCAGAAAACGAAGATGTTACTCATTCCTATGAGATCGACTGCTCAAATTCGTTAAAGGAAAACTAAAAATTCATGGACTGTATACTTCAATCAGTACTCTGGCAATTAAGTCCAGTAATAATTGAAAACGACCCAAATGCTTATTGCTTAATGCTTACATCTAATCTTGAAACTAATTCAGAAATCACCAAACTCTAAAACCAACTCACAGCAACTTCGATTGACCACACCAACCTCTCTAAAGCTGGTGACTTTATAAGAAAAATTGGTAACAATGACTAAATTACTATGCGGCGATCTCGTTTTGAAAAAAAATAAATTCGTTAAAATATGACTCGTCGTGACCAAATACAAAAAAAAAACATATTTACCAAGATCCATGTCGAACGACATGGGCAGAGTTCGCCTCAGCGCTTGAGGAACTCCGGCCTCTTCCGCTGCCGCGGCACACCGCCAAGATCGGCCAATGTGGTCGCTGGTGCTGAACTCGATTGACTGTAATGAGATTCGTTGAGACGGTTCTTTCGCTTCTGGTCGCCTCGTCGTACGACGGAAGCGAGTTCTGCAATCGCACAATATTTCAATCAAGCTATTCAAAAAAAGAAACGAACAAATTGCTAAAACTTCCTACCAAAGGAATAACACATTTGTTATTTATGTCAAAAAATTAATTTGCGCGAATGACCTACACAGACTGGGAGGAGAACTTAAAAACTTAAGAATTGAGGGCACATACTTCGAAAATGTGTTGTGTTAAATTTACATGTTTACATTCAAAAAAAAATCTCTGGAGAACGCGCAGGTCCTGTGAAGTTTATCGACAACGGATACAGTTTCTGTTACCTCTTTATCTGCAAACAATTCTAATATTGGTGACGCGTTCGTTTAGTGGAAACACGGCTTTAGCTTAAATTTATTATTTATGCTTGTCATCTACACAAGTACCATGGGCTAATTTCTATAGCATTGTTAAAAACGGCAACTAAATTAAAAGCACAGAAACCAATCAAACCCAAATGTCCATTGATGTCTAAATTCTTAATATCAGTCATTGCGTTTCTTTTAAAACAATTAATTACACACCAATCTAGCGTCCGGGAAGCGTCACTTTACCAAGTGAGTTTCTTGTTCCACGGATCCGAGACACTTCGAACATTTCTGGGATATTCCAGCACGGGTTTGGGAGCAATCGGATGTTTTCGAAGATTTTACCGTACGGCTCGAATATTGACGTTGTCAATTCTGACGCTCATGTCAGTGATTGTATTCGTGTTGTTTTGCAAATATATATCCAAAAACTAAAGGTCGTAGAAAAAGTATAGTATGCAACACGTTCGGTAAACTTTTTAAGTCACTCGTTTATTAAACACTCGCTCCGCTGCGCTTCGCTCGTGTCAAATAGACTCGTGAGTCAAGTACTGTTTACCGCACTTGTTGCATAATACGGGTTGAATTTATTCGTGTTGTTTTGCAAAAATGTACCCAAAAACTAACGGTCGTAGAAAAAGTATAGTATGTAAACTTTTTAAGTCACTCGTTTATTAAACACTCGCTCCGCTCGTGTCAAATAAACGCACGTGCTGATTACCGCACTTATTGCATAATATACTATTCTAGATTTTACCGCACGGGTGGAATTTATTCGTGTTGTTTTGCGCAAATGTACCCAAAAACTAACGGTCGTAGAAAAAGTATAGTATGCAACACATTCTGTAAACTTTTTAAGTCACTCATTTATTAAACACTCGCTCCGCTGCGCTTCGCTCGTGTCAAATAAACTCGTGAGTCAAGTACTGATTACCGCACTTGTTGCATAATATACTATTCTAGATTTTACCGCACGGGTGGAATTTATTCGTGTTCTTTTGAGCAAATGTATCCAAAAACTAACGGTCGTAGAAAGAGTATAGTATGCAACACGTTCGGTAAACTTTTTAAGTCACTTGTTTATTAAGCACTTATTCTGCTGCGCTCCGCTAATCACAAATAAATCTGTGACTCAGATGCCGTTTACCACACTTGCTGCATAATATGCTATTACCACACTTGTTGCATAATATACTACTAGGGTGTAAAAATTATTGTCCCTGTCGATAACTTCAAATTAAGTATTAACAGGTGTATTGAATAGTAATAATTGACTTCTATGCTTTGTCGGTATGAAATATTAAAATTAAAATTCGTAATTAAATAAATATAACTTAATAAATATTTTTTCTAGTCACGTCCCATACAACTCAATGGAACTTGTAAATACCCTTATTTCCTGCGCCGGGTATTGACTCAGACGTTTCAACAAACAGAGTGCTATCTGAAACTTAGTTTCAAATGTCAACGAGCTAGTCAATATCCGACACAGGAGAAATCAAGAAGAAGTATAACTACACTTAAATAAATTCTACACAATTGCAGTAAAAATGAATTCCTTATATCGTGATATTTATTTAGCCAACCTTCCGTATTTTTGAAAAAAAAACTGCAACAAAAATAACGCTAAAACGCTAACCTGATACCCATGATGTCAAAACTAATAATAAATAAATAACATAGTTCAAAGAAACCAATAGAGGGCATTTGACTTGTTGATGTAATTATTGTTTTTCTTAATTGCTGCTGTTGCCACGACTTTATAATTAACTGTGACTGAAAATAACAATGCATACACAAAACAGAGCTAACATACACAAAAAGTACAGCAACGTTCAACAATATAAAAAATATATGTGTATAAAATTTTCTCTAATTTGGAAAGGGAGAAATTGCGACGAACAAAAACCTGGTAGTGTCCCCAAATTTGGCAAGAGCAAAATATAACAAAAAAAAAGTCATAACCGTTAGCGTAATTTACGTCATTTACCGGTAGTTACCAGTAAATATTAATACCGTCCACTCTGTAGAACAAAACGATTTGATTGTTGGATATCCGATTAACCCTGTTATGCGTGATTGTCTTGCGTGTGGTCGTTACTACCCATGATTATTAAAACCACAATTTGTTTACTAATAACGGTAATAAAATTTCGTGGCAAATTACCTAAAATTAAGAAAATTTTGAATAAAAATCGATCTGGCCGATAGTAGACGGCTCGATCATACAGCACACTTCGTCGTTAAACGTAAGAGATGGTCAGTGAAGATAAACCGATCACTTATTGTCATCCTCTATACGATCAAGATTAAATCACAAGGAATTATTTTCGTTTTGATAATTAGGTGTAATTAACTACGTATTGTATTTATAGCGTAACGTTCGCTTTATTCCCATATGCAGTTTTTTACGGCGGATACAGGGTGACAGTCATGCTAAGGGTATCTAAAGAACGATGACCACCAAATTGAAAAATAATGTATTATGCAACAAGTGTGGTAAACACCAATTGAGTCATAAGCTTATTTGGCACGAGCGGAGCAAGTGTTTAATAAACGAATAACTTAAAAAGTTTGTTAAACGTGTTGCATACTACAGTTTTTCTTCGGCCGTTAGTTTTTAGGAACATTGTTGCAAAACAACACTGATATGACCGTCAGATTTGACAAACGTCAAAGTTCGAGCAATGCTCCAGAACTCCGAAACGAAGGGAACTGATTTGGTAAAATGGCAGTTACCGCACGCTAGATCGGTATATAATTAGGTTTTTTACAGAAGCGAATATAATATTGCTATTGCTGTTGTCTCTTTATAACTGTGTAGGTTAGACAGAGAGAGATGTATTATTGGATATGTCATATAAACAGGAGCCTGTAATTGGATAGAGGATAGAGCTTTTAAGAGTATTAAATTTTTAAGATAGTATAAGCAAGAAAAAGCAGGTCCTAACCTTCAATTTTGTTTTGTTTGCACTGATGAGATATTTGAAAATCGTACAATTGGTTTTGTCAAGATATTAATATAAAAATTATAAGAACCACTAAAGTTCACGCCAACGGTATGTAAAATTACAAATGTCACTTTACTCACCGACTAGTTCACTAGACTTTAATTGTAGCTTATAGCACGTAATTTTTAAATTGACTGATATATTGCATAACATTTTTGTGTGTATTAGTTTTTAGGTACATTTTTGCAAAACAACATCAATACATTCACCGACATGACCGTCAGAATTGACAAACGTCAAAATTTCAACCGTGCGGCAAAATCTGCGAAAATATCCGATTGCTCCCAAACCCGTGCGGTAAAATCCCGGAAATGTGCGAAGTGGCTTATATCCGTGGGAAATGAAACTGACGTGATAAAGTACCGCTTCCCGCATGCTATATAGGTGCAATTTACAGACGGGAGTAGAAAATCATATTTTGCGCGAGTCTTTAATTGGGAATAAATTCAATAAATCGGACCCGTGGATTAATATTTTAAAATGCGCTCTTTTTGGCGTAAGAAAATTTTATAAAGCGTGGACCAAATTTGATATGTGACTTAATTTTTTTAAATGGCAACCCAATTTTTTTAGAACTATTTTTAACGGGTAAATTCAAATTGCAAATATTTATTGCTTGTCACAATTAATTAAATTTGAAGTTCTTATTATTATTTAAATAAAAATTAAACTTAATAGTCTTTCCCCAATAAGTGGTTACTTACCATTGTGACAAAAGGTCAAAATGATAAAAGTCATTTCAACAGAAAATGATAATATATTTTAGCATTCCACTGTTAAACTGCAGAAAAATTAAATTAATTAATTTTTGTTAAACATTTTTAAATTAAATTACACGAAAAAAAATTGCCACAAAATGTGTAACCTGATATCTCAATTTCGATCGTAATTTCAGGAACTATGTGCCTGCATATTGCCGAAAAAAAAAATTATTAAAAACTGTTCTGCTAAAATGACGCATTTTAAACAAGCCAAAATGTCACTCATCAATTGCATCATTCTCATCCAATCCCATAATAAAAACATTTCGGAATTGTTTGAAAACAACATGCGAACTGGCTGAACGATTAGGATCGAATGACCCTGGTACAGAAAATCAACACCGTATAAGGGAAGAAGTTTGCCTAGTTTTGCGTTCGGTTCGTTACAGTTAATTGTTATATAATATGGCTTGAAGTGATACAACTATATACAGGGTGTTTGGAAACATAGGAAGGCCGAAGTAGAGCCACATATCACTATATTAAAATGTTGATGAAAATATTATTACTAAAAACAATGCAATTTTTTTTATATTTTTTATACAAAAAAAAATCGAAAAAATTATTATCTGTTAACTAGAGCCTTATATTATCATAATTATTTATTCATAAAAATTCTGCATTTGTCCTTTTTATCTTAAAAAACTAGTTTGAAATTTTTATTTTTGTTTAAATTAATAAATAATTTAAATAAATAATTAGGAAAAGATAGCCCTTACTATCTTAATGCTTAATTTAACATACAAAACGGTTTTGCATTAAAAAAAATCAATCAGAAAATTTGCAAAACACATATACAGTGAACGGAAAAAATAAAATGCTCGCATACACATAATGCAGGATGCATCGAAAATGATTTTATAAAAATAATATTTCATTTAAAAAAAGAAACTTGGTATCGACAACTCCTTTTTGACCCATGCTGTATAGTTTCTATTTATTGCAAAAAAGCGCAAGAAAAATTATGATGAACGTGTGCGACTATTTTATCTGATTTTAAAATGAATTGGTTGCATATTTATATAAACGAATAGCAAAGCTAACTTATCCATTACATCTGAATAACGTTCAGCGTCCCGTCGTTATGACAGTTTTGGTTTGTATCAAAAATAAATAAAAAAATTCCTGATATGAGACGTACCGTCACAGACCTTGGTCTATCGTTGAATAATTACATTAATACATTAATATACTGGTTTATGTTGGCTATGATTGCCAGGACTATTAGTCCAATCGAATACATTAATACAATGTTTCAGTGTCAATGTTAGGTATGAGCAGGGCAAATCTTAAAACACGACAACCACAAAATCGGCCTTTCAGAAGAAAACGGTAGAGCATAAGTTTCGTCGATGCCCGGCGGTGGAAAGCATTAAATAGCTGACATTCTAAGAGTCTCAACAACATGCCGCCCCACAAAATAGCACACTTCTTACAAAGGCTGAACTTTATGAAAGACCATAAAATGGGGAGTGTACCGAAGTAGCCACACACAATAAGCTAACCTCTGTCTAAAATAATAATTAAATATACTGACTTGGTTGATTCGGGAATATCAATATCATTGAGAGAAGTGCTCAAACTTACCGCTTGGTTAGTTTGTACTCCTTCAGCGAAGGCGATCAAAGCCAAACGATCGGGATGCTGCAGAAGAACGGCGTGATCGTTAAGAACGTCGTGAGGATGGCGCCTAGAGCTGGGTGGTGTCGAAATGTTCACCGCCCTGGCGAGCGTTCTCCTTTTGCGACAGGCCACCACCAAACACGCGAGTAGCAGAATACCAAGCACACCCGCACCCGTGGCGGTCGATATTAGAATCGCATTGATATTGTTCACTTCGTCTGCGGAAGCAGGATCAGGTCATTAAAATACAATCTTAATGAACCACCAAATACAACTTACAAAAATAGCTGTCGTTTGCTTTTATGCACATTGGAGCGTTCGATGTCGGTTCCCAGCAACCGTTGCTGGTACACGTAATGACCGGGTTCCCTTTTAGGACGTAACCTTTAAGGCATTCGTAAGTAATTTTTGAATGGATAGGAAAAGACGACCCATGACTATCGAAATGTGTACCGTAGCTCTGATCTATAATAACCGCGTAACTCACCGGTGGTGGTGGCAGGCAATCGTGGACGGGGTCTGCAAGAAAAATTTAATTAAGATTGCTAAGAACACTTCTTTCTCGATGGCAACATTCCGTCCAGAAGACGTCAACGGTCTGGAGATTTGGAATACTATTAACCAAAACTAATCTAGACCATAAACTAAACGCACCTGGACTTCCATTCCAGGGTTAAAAATTTACCGCTCCTGTTTTGGAGATCCTAAAAATATGTTGTAATTGATGCCAAGGAAACGCTCCATCATTCCATTAACATTTAAATGTAGCGAAGATAACTCACTCACTCAGGGTAGCTCACTATTCCTGGATATATACCTGCTATTATACCTGCTACTATAGAGAAATTTCTGAGAAAATTTCCGAATTTCCTATACTTAATATCAATAATTTTCTAAATATCTTTCTAAATAAAGGTGTACTATTATTTTGAGGAATGTGCCTTTTAAGCACATGCTATTTGTATTGCAAACGGAAACGAAAGAATGTAAAATTTTCTAATTTCCAATCAAATTGATTTTATGGCTAAGGCAAATATACTAAATAATTCACTATCTTCAAAAACTAAGGTTTCAGCATCTTTTTAACAACCATTATTGATTATTATAGCTTTGGGGAGAATAAATTAAGGAAGTATATATGCTGCTGGCGCAATTTTTAAAACAATATTTCATAGTTTTCGAGATAATGATGACTTTTATAATTGGGCGGGCTACATATATTTTTTGTTATGCTGGTACATGTGCCTCTAACATATGTTCACAGGTTCAGCCAGTTTGCACGTTTACTTTTTTTGTGAGACAGACGTGTTTTGTTTGCTCGGAGATTTTCTGCTGCCAAAAAAAAATGGAACAAAGTGTTTGAACGCTTGAAATATTGACAAAGGCATATTATAAATCTACTTTGAGCAAAAAAAAAATGTACAAGATGGCCGAGAAGACGCCGATGACAAACCTCGCTCTGGACGCCCTAGCATGTCAATAACTGATGAAATCGTTGAAAAAATGAAACAAATGGTGTTGAAAAATCGTCGAATCCCTATTAGACAGGTGGCTGAAGACGTCGGCATCTCTATTGGCTCGTGCCATGCAATTTTTTCCGAAGTTTTGGGCATGAACGTGCAACAGCAAAATTTGTTCCGAAACTGCTTAAATGAGAACAAAAGAACTGTCGAAGGAACATCGCTCAAGATTTTGCTTACTGTTTTCTTTGATTATCGTGGCGTAGATCAACAAGAGTTCTTACCACAAGTTCCTACTTGAAGAAGAAAATCTCCGGAATTATGGGATAAGAATTCATGGTTTTTGCATCACGATAATGCACCTGCTCACTCATCGTTACTTGTGTCTAACTTTCTTGGTCAAAAACAAAACCACAATCATGCCTTCTCAACCACCATATTCAGCGGATATGACCCGATGCGACTTTTTCCTGTTCCCAGAACTTAAGAAACCCTTGAAACGAAGGAAGTTATGAACGATTAAGGAGATAAGGAAAATATCGCTGGAAGAACTCAAGGCTATACCAGAAGTGCTTCGAGGATTGGCAAACGTTGGCACAAGTGCATGTGGGGGGGGGGATTCTGAAGGAGACAAGATAAATTTTGATGAATAAATAAATACTTTTTGATAAAACTTACTTTGAACACAAATCGTATGTATGTTTTTATACTTTTAATTATTTAATCCTGTATAATCATCACATAATATAACACAACAACTTCAACAATTTTTGTTCCTGACCAAAAATAACGTTTTTTATTCAGATTTTACTATCACGCATATATTACCCTTACTATCTTATTAGAAAGTCAACTTACCACACTGCGGATAAACCCCGAACCATTTTCCATTTTTGCAATAAAATTTCGATGATTGACAGGGTGACAGCGTGTTCCTGTATTTCCCTTTGCAACCTATTTCGACCGTAGCACCCGAAATAGCATTAATCTCGTACTCTTCAATTCTTTCCGTGTCGGATGGATTCAGAAAAGGGGGTGTGTTACATGACATCCCCGGGAAGGCATCTAGGAAACAGATTATAAAGTACTTTTATCTATATTAGCAAATCATATTTGTTACGCCATTTCAAAAGTTGCTATAGTCGATAAAAATGTACGTAGGTAGACAAACCCCTTAAACAAAATTACTACATAACGAGACATGGCTTTTAAATATTTTCCTAATTTTGACAATTTTGTCGGTATTGTAATGTTATAATGTAAGCAACAATTTTGAGGAAATTAATTTTTTTGATTAGTGAATTTAATTGAAATGTTAGTAGTGACAATAACAGAGTATGTTAGCGAAGATAAGAACCAAAGACATGCTGAGGACCCTTACAACGAATGGAATGTAACTCTCACACAATAATTTCGCGATACGGACATACCCACTTTTATTTGCCATGAGTTCATGTGTAAATGAGTTTAACTTCGTAGCTATTTTTAACATATTTTTTTAGTCCTTTGAATAGTCAAGCGACTATTATTATTTTCCTTGATCAAATCAAAAGATCAAATATCTAATTGGGATTCATTTGTCATACCAAAACCCTGTGAAATTTTTATTCTCAATTGTTTTCGGAAATAATCATTTCTAACTAAGCTAAGCAATTTTATCTTTTAGGACGCTATTACGCTGGGTACCAAAGACCCTGTATATTTATTAAGTATGGAGATTGGAGGACGTAATTTTCAATTTTACAAAAAGTAAAGTCTTCGTAGCTTCTACACAAATTGACGGACTTTTAGATACCCAAAACGATTATATAGTTAGTACAATGAACTCTACCTTTGAAGAAGGGTGAGGGGTATCCATTAGAAGCTCCATTAATTGGACCTACGAAAGCAATAACTAATAACTCACTGAAAGAGAGTTAATACTGGGTTAACATTTCAAGAAAATATTATTTTATTTATTTATTTAATAAAAAAAATTACGTTCATTTATGCATTAAAATTTTGTCAAAACGCCCATCTCAATTACAGGTTTGGCAGTTCAAGTAACAAAACAAACACAAAAACAAATTTCAAATATTTTTTTAATGAACTTTGCTGCCATAGCTCCACTGAGAATACGTAAAATAAAACTCGAAATAAACATGGTTATTTGGTGTTTTAGAATTCAATAACTTATCAATAACGGAAACGAATAATTCATTTGAAACATTTTAGTGGAAAAACTCTTAATAAATAACACTCGCTTAATTGTCTTCCCATACAGCTTCATTAGCGGATGTGAACCCTACTGGCACGACTGGAATTTACAGAGGGCAAAGACGGGAGTCTCAGAACAAGCCGTCAGTCAAGTCAGACCAGAGGGTGCCCATTCGATTTTATTAAACGAGGGATCCGGGGAAAGTTCGGGAGCAAATGGCTGCTGGTGGCTCGAATGCGGCATCCTTAAATAGCCGAATTTCTGCTCTGACTAAGCGCTTATTTGCCAAGCTGTTAATTGCCATCCGATCGTCCGGATTTTATTACTATTTACCAAATTAAACCCTGTTCGAAACATGCAATTGTATGTTGTTGGCAAATACAAACTGAAATTGGCCAGTTAAATGAATAGACTTATTTTTGCAAATATTTATTATTCCATTATAGTCATGTAAACATTTAAATCATTATGCTACACAAATAGTGGCTTCCTATTACTACAATAGTTTCCAATTTTTCTTGCCGCAAATCCGAAAGTGAAGTAATTAATAATATTCAACAAATTAAATCATTCTTACCTAGTTTTTTCAATTTTCTCAAAAACTAAGAGTGGAATAAATTCATGCAGATTTAGAATCGCCAATGTCAAGTTTCTTTCCCTTTCCTAACTAAAAGGGGTTTATTGAAAACTAATGTCTTTCTTAAACGTTTTTGAAACATTTTTACTTTACACAGACGTTTATTTATTTCTTTCGGATATTTTTCAACTTTATTGATATAGAATTCAAATGCTATGTCTCATGGGAAAAACTGGTAATCCTATCGAATCCCTTATTTGCTTGGTTTATCCATAAATTGAATTGAAGCAATAAAGTAGGTTAGAGTGGTGCCGACCAAGGAAAACATAGTGGACCGGTCGATCTCAAAAAAGTTGGCTGCGGTAAAAGATATTTTCCTTTTTGTAATGGTATCGCTGAAATTTTGGAGTTCCCGATACTCCGCGGTCCCTGGAGGAAAACGCCGTTGCAGATTTATGCAAGTTACCAGCAATGTTTTCGATTCTCTGACGACGAGATCGCAACAGAACATCATCGCAAATTGCATCGACTAAAATAAGAGCGAATGTTCCAACTTTACTAATTAAATAGGAGAATACGGGTATACAAATAAGTAGCAAACAATATCAACAATGATTGCTAACAAACTGATAATAAATTTTATTTTTTTTAAAATCACACCTACGCCGAAATCTATTCACTTTACCAAAGATAACTGCGTTACCCTTGATTTTACATCGTTATTTTTACCATATATGGACCAAACTTAGTATTTTCTAAACGGGAACACGCTGTATTTTTTGGTAGCCTTTATTTTCGCTGATGTAAACTAACCCATAAAATCACAATATTATAAGAAAAACGCTGGCAATAATAATATATACGAAAAATCAATGAAAACTTGTTTAAGTCAAATACTACCGGACTTATTGAATAGCCACAATATTTACTTTCAGCAGTGCTTCGCTCCTACTCACAATGCACAAATAAGGTCGTTTCTTTTTGAAAATTTGGACGATCGCTGGTACAAATATACTAAGGGGAAAGAATCCCATTCATCTGGCGGAAGAGTGTGTCCGCGCAGAGGGAGTCGCGGAGACCTGGTTCAACTGCAACAATCTTGTTCTTAATCACAGCAAAACTCAGCGTATGACCTTTTCAGGCAGTAATGAATCAATCAATGAATCAATTCCCAAATTAATCTATTGGGCGTCACACTGGATAGATCGTTGACATGGGAATCACATATCGAACTCCTTTGTAACAGTAACAGATTGTCCACTAGACTTTACCTGCTGAGGCATCTTAAATCCTTTGCTCCAACGATCATGCTGAGGATGCCTTATTTTGGCTTATTTCATTCTTTGCTGTCGTACGCAGTCCTAAACTGGGGCTGGTCTGTCCATGCAGCCAAAGCTTTCCGAATGCAAAAGAACACCTCTGGCACATTGTCGCCCTATCTTCAAGAGGCTAAAAATCATGACACTTCCTAGTCTGTTCATTTACCGTGCACTGACCCACGTCCATGAAAATATACATGCTTTTGAAAGACATTCTGACAGACATGCACACAACACCAGACAGGCAGACCTCATCGTACCATACTATTCCAGACTGACGATCTCGGCAAGGAATAAGCTTCGCACGGACTTGTATAATGTTCTTCCTCAACATATCAGAGACATCACAGTCTAAATTCTCCAGAGAAATTAGACTGTTTCTTCTGGACCATGCTTTTTACTCAATTGCAAAAGACACCCTTTCGGCCAAACACGAATTTTAGATCAACATATGTTTTATTCTCTACCTATCGATATTTACGATTTCTGTTAAATTTTCGATTCTATCGTATGTATTGTACTTTTGTAATGTAGGTCTATTATATATTTTGTCATATTGCTTTCACGCACGGAATTTTTCTATTGTTTATACGATTTATTTATCCACAACCACAAGTTTCTTTTGTACTACTGACGCGCCATTTGTTGTAAAGCCTTTTTATGTAAAAAATGGCTAAATAAATCTATCTATCTATCTATGGAACAGCTACAAAATACAATCGTTCAGGCATTTGTTTATATCTTTGTAAAATAACCCTCTTACACTAATTCGCATTCTGTGTCAATTATGTGTTCGGGAGGAGAGTGAGAAATTTAAAACATTTTTTTAATCGTGTTTATTATTATTATTAAGTCTGTTAAGTTTATCAATTTTTATTAAAAAAATGGTTATTAATTTTTTATTTTGTTTAATTTTGCTTGTGGACACTTACGTTTTTCTTATAGTATCCAGTTTTTAAGGGTTACCGTGCGTCAGAACTGCATAGTGTGTATCATTTTAAAGCGAAAACAAGCCGAAATTTTTGGTACCAAAAAATACAGGGTGTTTTATTTCAAAAATATTACGTTCCAGCTATATCTCGAAAACGGTTTGTCAAAAAAAAATTGTATGATTACACCACTAGATTCTAATAAAAACATTTATCTACACAATGTTTTACTTATTTTATATCTTACAGGGTGTCCGAAATATGATACCACCTCAAAGCATAATTCTGTTCGCTGCATTCAAAGTTCTATATCTGCTGATTACCGAGAAACCCTGTGATTACAAGCAATTCATCATCCTTTGTTAGCATAATTTCGCAGAAATGACGAGTGTTTCATAAAATCGAAAGACATTAACAATAACACAATAATACCGTTTTTTATATGATCCCCCTATATAATTTTGCATATTATGATTCCTGAAAGAAATGTTTATATGACACCATAATTCTTGTTGAATTTTAATGCGACGTTATTGGGAAAAAATACCAAGATAATTTTACATTTTTACATTCGTATTATACTGACAGTATCCAACATTTGCAACTCAAGTCTTATGTAAATAAAGCTATCTTTATCTTTATCTTTATCTAAATTTTTTTTAAATTATGCTTTGCTATTACATCAATACATCAAAAAATATTTTAAAAATGTATGTCACTAATGTCGCTCCTTAAAAAAATTTTTCGAAATTGTACTAAATAAGGGAGATAGTGTACATTGTGAAGTTACTCCACCCCGTAGGTATAACCGCCACAATAACATTTATTAACAAAATGGAATTGCAATTTCCACTATTACTTTTTTTACTACCGAAATAAAATTTTATGTCTAAGTCCGGAAATAAACCAGCGATTACACAGATGAACTAAAAGAAAACATTTTAGTAATTGCTCGAAAGTCTTTGGAAAAATAGAAATATTTTTACATATCTATAAAATGGTGGGAAATGATCATAGGGTAAGTATAACAATATGCTCGATAA